CTTAAAGGGTGAAAAGTAAAAGTCGCTAGTTTTACTAAATGATTATCATGATAGAAGTATTTTAATGTTGTAGATGGTCGAGGTGGAGCAAATTGTAACTAGACCTGTTGTATTTTATAGGCTCAACAAATGGTTTGTATGTAAAAACTTAGTAAAATCTAGTAGCTTATTATATGTCAGATAACTGCAAAAGTATGTAAATATAATCAGAAAAATTTACTTAAATGTAAAAGAACTTAAAAACTATCCCCTGTGACTGATACTACATATACTATTATACATAATATCAGATTATTATGACTCATGCCCAGTACTCCAATCTGACCACTTTTTTCAGTAACGAGTAATCTAACGCGTTACTATTTCCAAGCCAGTAATCAGATTAAGGTTACTTATCCAAGTCACTGTGCGTTACTATGTTTGTCATTTTCCTTATTAAAACTATATTTGCTTTCTGTCTCTGGGAGTGAAGTCACGTAGTCTATGCGACGTCATGTTTTCAGCATGAGGACAGTTCACGTGTAGGCTACGCAGACACAAACATAAACAACAATGGAGGGAGGAGAGAGATGCGCGTTTTCTAGCTGGAAATACAGTCACTATTTTGAGTTTGTGTCAGCTAAAGATGGCAATATTAAGGTTCGTTGTACACTCTGTGCTGGTGGCGACAAAGTGCTATCTAGCTACAAAAACACTACGTCAAATTTGAAGAAACATTTGGAGTCGCAGCACTGCACAGTCAAACTTACAGAGCAAGTCCCACCAGGTGGTATGAAGCAGAGAGCAGGAGGTCCCCCACCACCCAAACAACAAAAGCTGGACTTGGATGCAAAACCAGTAAGTGGGGGAAGAGTTGAAGAAGTTGGTCGGGCAGTATGTTGTAGACTAAAATGTCAGGAGATACATTGTTACTGTTAAAAATTCACTTCCAATAAAGTGAGTGTTGGCAAAAGCGGTTGTCATTTTTATGTTGTCGGCAGCTGCTGAATGTAACTAATAAAGTAACTTGTAATCTAACTTAGTTATTTTTAAAATGTTTAGGAGGATCTAAATGGAATATAATATTCATAAATGCACTATAGCGCACAATAATAGTGCTTAATCATCTGAAAGTAAGACTAGTTGGTCCTCTAAGTCAAAGTAGCAATGCCACAGAGTACAAATACTCCATTACAAGAAAGGTTCAACCTTAATGGAGTGTATAGGCTTTTAGAAGTATAAAGTAGGATGTAATAGAAATGTAAATGAATGTACCTCCTAATTGTGCTCAAGTTTAGTACTTGAGTAAATGTACTTTCCTCTATATTCCCCAGCTCTCACAAACAGGAATTTGTTTGAAACACTTTGAGGAAGTAAAACATATTTGAAGACAAACTTAGTGTTTACTTAGTAAGTGTACCCTCATAATTGTTCAGTACTTGAGTAGATGTACCACCGGTTCATTTACTAAACATCACATATTGTAATTTGATTGAAAAAACCTTTGGACAGAAATTCTGTTCAACTATGTATTATAAAGACTCACCAGTTGCTTGAAAGCAGTTCAGTCAGGACCACTTATGTCAAAATATCTTCTATTCCAAAGCAGTATATTACATTTGGCGGTATGGCTCTGTTCTGGGACCTCCTTGTCCTTCCCTATGCCTACATGGAAAACCTTATGGCAGGGAGAGCTCCCCTCCCTGCCCTTCCATGTGCATACATGGAAAGGTATAAGACAAGGAGAGTGGCAGCAGAGACCCCCAAAGAACCATATCAGGCAACCTCCCTTGCATGAGCTACATGTAGTTTCTCCTATACACTTGGTGTAGGCATTGTAATCTGCAACGAAAATGAAACGTAGACACAATAAAATGTTAAAGTATTAACCGTTGCAATTGAAATGGTGAAACAAAGACATTATCAGAGTTTGGAACTAAATTGAAGCTGATGGAAAGTATCTGGTAGGGGTGCTGATCAGGAAGATTTTTTATCTATTTAATAAATTGCTTCCCAGATCTTGTTTTTTCTACTTCTGAGTGGGTGACTGGTCTGATGAGAAGTGTACTCTGTTGTTACTATGTATCAGTTTATCAGTGGTAGCACAACACGCATGACTGACAGCTTGGTCACACCGCCCATGTTTTGATTTACTTTCTTTGGCGCCCATGTTAACAGATTAGACCGCTCACACTGCGTATCAGGTGTGTCTGCTGCACAATTCACTAGTTAAATGGTTTGGGTTGGTTAGGATTAGGTTTAGGCACCTGCCCCTGTTTGTTTTGAATACAGTGCCCCTGCATATCTCCTCCCAGAGGGTAGGATCTGAAAGCAAGTGCTTAGATTATGAGTTGTGTCCTTTGCAATTTTACTTTCTTTACCACCCTCTGTTCATGAAGTAGCTGGAGGGATGGGCACTCATTTTCACAGAGGTTGGACCCCGATGTAACCACCCTCCGCAGTTTGGCCTTTTTGGTCTCTGATAGTTTACCATACCAAGCCAGAAAAAAAGAGGTGAGGAGGCTTTCTATATGATAAATGTAAAAGCTGCGAAGGATGGGAGCTCCTACATCCAGAATGCTTCAGCCTCCATTGAAGGTAGATCCACTGCTGGAACTTTAATAAGATGATTTGTGTGTTGTTAAAGGTCAGGCCTCTGTTGATTGTGGTTCTCACCATTGAGTTTCACCAGTGGAACAGGGTCAGCCTTGTTCCAGAAGTCTATGAGGAGCTCTTTTGTCTTCTTCACATTTATCCAGAGGTGCTCCTCACACTACTGGTACATCCTCTTACTTCCTGCAGTGTCATCTACAAACTTCACCGCCATGGGCGCTGGAGCTGTTGAACCTAACAAACAGCTCCCTTTTGAGGAGAAAGTCCAGTATCCAGAGGATCATACATGGTTCCACCTGGAGCTCTTGCAGTTTTGTACAGAGGATGTGGGGCTGCAAGTAGTTGTAGTTGTAGTATCACTGCATCTTCCACTGAGTCCTTTTGCACCTCATTCCCCTGTTGCTGCTGCTTCTTAATACGTCCTTAAATCTGTGACCCTTAGCAAAACAAACAATCTCACAAGCATCACACACTCCACTCCATCGCGGTTTGCCAGCAGAGCAGTGCCCCCTAGTATAATCACAAAAAAAAGTGACCATACTTCAGTATCCAAACCAAGCTATGTTTCGCACTATTAAAATGGCTCCAGAAAGCTGATAGAGTTGACACTGGTATCACAAGTATACGATGTTGCAGATTCCAAACATCACAATACATGGAGAATATTTTGAAGCAATGAGCATGTGATATGTCGTAAATGAAAAAGGCAACAAATGGATGGGGCTCAATTTTTCAGTATGTTTCCAAAAATAAATTATTCATATATTCAAACCCTGGTTTTCACTTCATGTCTGTGCAAGACAGAGGAAAAACTGGGCACAGAAAAACTGATGTGTTCTTATTAGTTTTAATTTTGTCCCTGGATCTTGCAAACCAACCAAGGGCAGCAGAACGTCTCACACAAATTAACTCCTCAGGCTAGGTGGGCATTGGTAATGATGAAAATCTTGGTAGGAATCAAAATTATATGATCACTTATGACAATCAGAATAAGTTTCTAAGCCAAATAAGTCATTATTTATTCCTCTCGGATACTGTGTGCGTCTGCAATAGGTAGAACACAGATCGATGCACAAATTCACATTTTTCCGGTGTTTTATTCTACTTTTGCTTTTTTATTAGTTTTTATTTTTATTTCATTTTAAATGTTTGTTTTGAATTCAGTTTAGTTTCAGTTTGGTTGATGAGGAGGATGGTGCATTACAGAGAGTAGTTGAAAATACTGTTCAAAATGGGAATTTATCAAAGGCTCAATGCCCTTAATTGTTTTCTGGTCATTGTTTTATACATATGGTTTATATGTTTGGCAACAGTGCGTATGCTTTTAAAGTTACTCTGTGGAGGAGCTGAGGAAAGCAACATGATTTTTGTGTCTCATGATACTGGAACCTCTGTCAACTCCAAAGGAGGTGGATAATGTCATTTTGGAACAGTTGTAAAATGATTAAGTAAAGTGTGATTTGGATCTGATTATTTGCATGTAGGACTTTTACTTGTAATGAGTATTTGTATATTGTTTTATTCACTCTGCTGTGCTGCTGCGAGGCTGTGAATCAGCCCAAGAATGTAATGTTGTTTTTCACTGGGGCTTACATAGTTTATGTTTATCAGCTCTACTATGGAATGTATAATCTGCAGTCTTCATCTCGATTTTTGACTCTTACCCCAAAATGATGCCATATCTTACATACTGATCAGCAGCAATGGATGAATAATGGAAAACAAAACAGATGAACATGTAATAGATGTAACAAACGCAACAGATGCAGTCCTGCTCTCCAAGGTTTCTGAAAATTCTATTAGATTAAGTAAGAATGATCAAAAGTCACCCAAATTATATTCTGATAATATTCCATAAAAAAGTTAAAGAAGAAAATCTTTAGACTGAATTTTTATACAGTGAAAATGCACAATAGACATTTTTAGATGATAAAATGAATTGGTTTTATTATACATTGAGAACATTCTAATATTGATATACATAAAAACATATCAGACTTTCTCGGCCGCTCACTTTTTTCAATTGTTGTCAGTGGTGTTTATACACTCAAGATGCAGACAGGCATTCAATGTTTTATGATTTACTATGTTGAGGAATAGAGAGCGTGAACTGAGTTATATGAACAAAAAATCCACAATGTTTTCAGAAATCTTTCCCATTTAATTGTAGAAATTTAAAATTAAATAATTAGGTTATACTTTCGATTTGGTGCACGATCTAAAAAGAAAGCATTGCTTAAATTTTTATAAAGGGTGTGGGAATGTGTGCTGACATATTTTTCAAGTAAGGTGAGAAGATAAGGTGAGTCTCTGAATGGTCACGCAATGTGATGGGAACATACCTGATCCCCAAGGTTTCTACGCCTGCAACACCTGTACAGTATATAAAGAGCTGCATGAAATGTAGTATCACCATGCAGCAAAACTCATCTACAGCATTTACCTGTTCATCATGATGAAGCTGATCCCTTCTCTGACTCTCATCTGGGCGCTCTCCAGCACAGGTAACCCCACTTCTGTGGAGAGCATATTTGGAGAAACTTTTAATCTTATACCAGAACTGTTTTAAGAAAGGATTTTAATATATAATATGAGCAGACAAAAACCTTCTAAAACATAAGTAAAGATCATTAATACATTTCATAAATTATAATACTTAGTAGGGATACACTACAACTCTCTAGTCAATACAATTTACGATACTGGATTCAGATATTTAATGAAATGGTATTGAAGACTATAAAAAATAATAATATACTTGAGCATTGTGGAGGAAGCTGTGCGTGTAAATATGTATGTCTGCTGCATTTTAGACACATTACAACCCTTGTGTTTTTTGCAATGCTTTTCCAACAATAACTTCCAACCTTTAAAGACCATCAAAACCTTTAACCCTGACCACCTCAGACATTTGATTTGACATCTGGTGTGTGATAATTGTATCAACTGTTTGTCTCCCCTCGGCAGCTGGAGCACTTCAGTGTCAAACTTGTACAAATCTGCAGTGTTCAAGCACGGTATTATTTACATGTTTGTCTGCAACAGAGTTGTGTCTAGAAGCTTCCATTCAAGGTAGTCATTTCATTTATTACTTTTCAGTGAAATAGAATACCTGCAAAGTTATGCGCTCTTTCTATCAACATTAACAAACTGTGCTTTGATTTTGTAGGCACTTCATCTGGAGCCACAGTCCAGCAAATCTTGAAGGCTTGTGCACCGCCCTCCCTGTGTCCAGCCACAGGCTTTCAGAATATTTCAGTCAACTTGGGTATTGTGAGTGCAGTTGCATCTGTTCGGTGCTGCAACACGGATAACTGCAACAACAACACAACTCCAGCTTGTAAGTACACACTACATGTTCTACAAGTGGCTGATTGACAATAAGAAAATAAGAACACTGCCATCGTGGAATCTTTTTCTTTTTTAATTTTTAAACTTTAATGTTTTCTCTTCCTCAAATTAATGATGTTGTTCTTTTCTGTTTCAGCCCCAGTGGCACAGACAAGTAACAGCCTACAGTGTTTCACTTGTAACACCTCTCAATGCAACATCCCATTACAATGTAAGGGAGAGGAGGACCGCTGCTTTCAAGCAAGTGGTGAGTCTTTATTTGATCTATTATTGTCTTCAAATGTGTTTTACTTCCTGAAAGTATTTAAAACTAATTCCTATTTGTGAGAGCTGGGGAATATGGAGGAAATGGAAGAAAGTAATGAAGTACATTTATTCAAGAACTAAACTTGAGCACAATTATGAGGTATGTTCTTTTACATTTCTATTATATGTTAATCTATACTTCTAAAGGCAGGAAAATTAAACATTAAGCTTGAACCCTTCTTGTAATGGAGTATTTGTACACTGTGGCATTGCTACATTTACTTAAAGGACCAGTGTGTAGGATTTTCTGACATCTAGTGGTGAAATTGCAGATTGCAACCAACTGAATAAACACTCGCCATCCAAGCATGAAGGAGAAACTAAGGCGGCTACAAAACGTGAAAAGCCCTGTGTTTGGTTTGTCCGTTCTGGGCTACCGTAGAAACATGGGGTTCAACATGGACGACATACGCTTATTTCCCTACAAAAGTTGGATTTATAGAAAAAAGTTTTCCATTGCTGACATTATTATCATTATTATTACTATTATTCATCATTCCCCATTGTCGTGGCTATCGGCGTCATTGTCGTAGTCTTCATCATCATCATCAGTATAGTATAGCTGTTGTTGTTGCTGTTGTTGTTGCTGTGCACCTTTGTCTCTCTCTCTCTGTCCTCTCTTTACCACCCACCCCCTCTACTTATTGCTTGACAAAAACCCCCAGAAAATGTAGTTTGTATAGTAAAACAGTGATTTTTTATCTACAGTGATAAATGGGTCCAGCACTTTTCCAGTCTTTGGCTGTGCATCTTCAAACCTGTGTACAGCTGCTGCCAGCCTGGGTAGCCTACCTTTTGTACAAGGTATTGGTGACCTCAGCAGCAGTGGACCATCCTGTTGTAACACCTCATTGTGTAATACTGTTACAACAACAACAACAAGCGACGCCTGCCGTGTCAGACTGGCTACGATCCTTCTGATGCTCGGACTCCTTATCTTAACCCTCTGTTAGAACACTGACAAAATGGAGGAAGCACCTTTGAAGCTAGCAGAATGAGTTCTTTTGAAGCCTGTAGTTGGGTTTATTGCTCACTGACATCTTTAGCTGGGAGTTACAGGGGCTAGAAAAACCACATTTAGGGAAAAAGTGCAAGGGTGAAGCTTAAGTGGGATAATTAGGCAGCAATGCAGTAGACTTTTTTCACAGCAGTCATTTTGACATGAAATAGTAGGGTAAACACAGGTGTTACCAATGATACTAATTAAGGTTCTGTTCAGATCAAACAGAGTCAGGTTGGTGCTATTGTGCATGTTGTCACTGGAAAGGTACTGCTGCACTAAATGGAACCTTAATTAGTATCAATGGCAACACGTGTTTACCCTACTATTTCATGTCAAAATGGCTGCTGTGAAAAATGTCTATTGTCAGGCACTTAGATGCATGAACTTTTTCGCAGCTTTAATTTACTTAGTACATATTTGCTGGGGATTTTTTTACTGTGTGTATTTTAACTGGATTGAATGTTGTGTTTTGTTGTAAATTGTACAGATATAATACAATTGTCTACTATCCTAATACTATATCATATAATATACCGTATTGACCCGAATATAAGACGACCCTGAATATAAGACGACCCCTCTTTTTCAAGACCCATATTTGGAAAAATACTTTTTATTTGGACAAAAACTTGAAAATTTAAATTAAACGAGCATAAGCCTACTGGCTTAACTTGTGCAATAAACGGCGCACATTTTCTTGACAGTGTCAGAACAGTCTGCAAAATGTGAGAACAATAACATCCAAAAACACCACAAACAGTTTTTTTTTTTCTTTCTTTCATTGAGCTGCATCCTCCGCATCACTGTGTTCCTCCTCCTCACTCGCACTTTCATTGTCGCTCTCTGCCGATGCCGTCGGCTCCTCCCACATCAAATCATCCTCGCTTCCATCCATCAGATTTGAGATGCAACATTTCTTGAACCCGTTGATGATGCTCTCAGAGGAGACGTCTGCCCAAGCTTGCAGGATCCATTCGCAGAGAAGATGGGCAGAAGGTTTCTGAATTTTTCCAGTAGGTGTCAAGACATGGTTACCAGCCAGGAGCCATGCTGTGTAGTTCTTCCGCAGACTGTTTTTGAATGGCTTATTAACGACCACATCCAGTACCTGTAACAAGTTATTTTTTTAACCATTATAGGCCTACAGTAGCTTGCTGTTATGTACACATCTATCATAAATTCTATTGTATCTTTTCAATCTCCCAATAAAATGACTCAAACTACACTGACCTGCAGCTGACTTGTCATTCCACCCGGGATGATCACCAAGTCACCATTCAGCTCCTTAACTTGTTTCTTGACCTCGTCTGTCACATGTCCACGGAAAGCATCTAGCACCAGCATGTTTCGCCTCCGTCTAAGTCCCCCGGGACGTCTGGCCCACACAAATTTAAGCCAGTCCACCACAAGCCTGGACTCCATCCATCCTTTTTCTTGTGCACGCACAATTATGCCAGCCAGCATAGGATCTTTGGGGAGAGTCTTTCGTTTTAAAATCACATAGGGGGGGAGTTTGGTCCCATCAGCGAGGCAGGTTAACATAACGGTAACGCGGCTCTTCTCGTTCCCTGTAGACTTAACAATCACTGATTTGTCTCCTCTTTTATGAACGGTGACAGATGTGGGCATGTCAAAAAAAACAGGTGTCTGGTCTGCGTTGCCAATCTGATCCAGGGGATATTCATGCTTCTTTCTCAATTTTATCACAAAACGCTGGTAGTTTACCAGCTTCTCTCTGAAGTCTGCGGGCAGACGCTGAGCTAGGCTTGTTCTGCGTCTGAGGGACAGGCCATTACGTCGCTTCATTCTGCGGCACCAGCCCATGCTGGCTTTGAATTTGGCGCGGGGAATGTTAAGCTCTGTGGCTACTTCAAGTGCTTTTTACTGCATCACTGCCCTCGTGGTGGGTATCCCTTCATTACGTTTTTCATTCACATATTCACACACCCTTCTGTCAATTTCTGTGAAGCGACCAGTTTGTGGACCACGATAGCTCCTTCTCTGGCTGTGAGTGTTTTTTAGTTTATCTTTCTGGGACCGCCAGCGTTGTACGTTGCACTCAGTCACATCATATCTTTTTCCTGCCCTCACGTTATTCGTTCTCTCAGCTTCATTTACAACCATAAGTTTAAAATTCTCATCATAACTTCTCCTCTGATTGTTATTCACCTGACCGACTTTGGAAGCACTTTTTTCAAGTGGATCTCTGTGTCCTGCCTGCATCTTTCTGTCATTCAGTAGCTTATACAAATGAAGGCTAACACACCCACTCCAGCCGACTTGTTTACTGTACATGCTTGTTTACAGGATCACGTTAGGGTCACACTGCATTAAACGCTGACGGAGAGAAAAGCGCTCATATGGCGCTACCTATTGTTTTACATGGGTTACTCCTTAGACCCCGAATATAAGACGAGGCGTCATTTTCAGGCATTTTTCAAGGGAAAAAATATCGTCTTATATTCGGATCAATACGGTAATACCAATGACTGAAATTAACTTTTAGGAATTTTCATACTTCAATTGGACCTTTTGTTCTCTGGTGACTTTAATGTAGTATCTCAATAGTTGTTGGGGTGAAATTGCAGATTGCAAGCAGCTGAATAATCCCTTACATTCCAAGCATGTAGGAGAAAATAATAAATCTATCTAGTGCCAGTGTTTTGTTTGTGGAAACATACAAGAGGACCCGCTCCCTCTGTAGATAAAAACGTCTCATTCTAAGGTAACAAAAATGCATAAAGCAACATTCTCTTAACTAATATTTTCTCATATATAAGAGAAAGTATAAGAGAAAAATGCTATTAGCAACGTTAATGCCCTTTTAGACACTATCAAAGGCTATTCATATCATCATTTACGGAGTGTACAGGTGGTTTCCAGTTTCACAACATTCCAGCATAATGAAAAACGAAAGCACATGCGAAGTAGGTGACATGATCAATGGCTTTTGTATCAAGAAAAATCTTGTCTTATCTTTTTTCTTTTGTCATGAGTTCACTGATGCATCGAATACAACAACAAAGATATGAATTAAACATTTGCTGGTGTGTACTGTTGCTGTCTCTGCCTTTGCATTTATCTTACTCTTTCCTGGTGGACTTTGGTCTTTTTTTTAAAACTAAATTCCTGTTGATTCTGATTCTTAGAGCCGTTTGGACCCCCCCCATAATGATGCTGTATCCTACTGACAGATCAGCAGCAATGGTTGAATGTTGGTGTCAAGTTCTGTGTGTTTTGTGATTGACCACAGCACTGCCCAAACTTGAAAAACTGCTTGATCTCTGATGGACGCAAAGGACAACTCAAATCTGTTCACTTTTTGGTTTTTTATTTTCTTGAAGATGGTTTGATAAATTGGGATGGAGCAGAATAGGTTGATAACCTTTAAGATACAAACAAAATACATTAATTAGTTACAAATAAATCACTTTCTAAAAGTAATAATAAATTAATGTTACTGAATCCTCAAAACCAAACCAAACAAAGTAATTTAGATTAACCTAGGATCTCTACTAGTTCATAATTAAAGTACAAATCCCACAATTAAACTTATATAATAATTAAACAATATACATGCTTTGTGTAACATTACTTCTTCCAAGATCTGTTAACATAATAAAGTTTTCAACTATTTAACTTAAATTGCACATTTCACCAAGCAAAAGTCATATAGTCATAAGCATGACCTCAACACATTCAACCAAATTCTGTCCTACCAGTTGCGTCTCTAGATGATCAGGAGCTGTGGTCATAGTACCTCTTCAGGAATGGGTGAGAGGGCCAACTGAGCTTTTACCAAACATTTAAAATGCCATGCACTCCCTCTGGGTGCGCAGGTGAATATGGTCCCAAGAGCACTTCCTGAGAAGTTAGTTCCACCAACTCTGTTGCATGGTTGCCCCCTGCAGGTTGGGAGTGCTCCTGGGTGAATCTAGGCTGGAGTGCTCAGTACAACTTTTAACCCTGAGTTGACACAACACCTCCCACTTGACCTCCTGGTTGTTCAACCCAAGGAGGTCACACCAGTACTGTGATGTGTTGGATTTAGTTGCTCCATTTTTGATCTTGTTGTTGCTCTTCAACTGGAAGCAGGACAACTATCCGTCTGACATCCCTGTGAAGAATTGTTGCAGGTATCTTGGTTGAGTGTTTTTTGATCTTTTGAGTGGGCTTCACAGTTGCTACTGGGTAGCTGGGGAAGGATTGGAGATGTACATCCCTCACAATTCCCTTCCCATCAGTGTTGACGTCAACGACTCTGGCAAGCCTGAACTGACCTCTCAAGGTGTTCTGGTCAGCCAGCCAGATGACATCTCCAATTGCCACATTCCTGTGAGCTGTGTGCCACTTGGACCGGACAAACAGGTTTGGTCCTGCTAACTGGCTCCATTTCCTCCAGAATCGGTCAACTTTTTTTTTTTTTTTTTTTTTTTTTTTATGAGTAGCCTTCAAAGTCAAAGGTCCCTGGGTCTCCTCTGGGTCCAGTTCTTCCGAGCAGAAGTGAATTTGGGCTGATGTATTCTACACAGTCCTCCCGGCTCTGAGTCCTGGCATCAATAGGTCGTTCATTAGTGAGGTTGGAAGCCATATAAAGGAAAGTTTGAAACTCGCCCCATGTGAAGACTCCATTATCCCCCAGATTGTGCAAAGCGCGCTTCACAGTCCGGACAGCAGCTTCAGCAGCTCCGTTTCTGTGAGGTGAGTCTGCTGGATGAATCTTCCAGCTCCATTCTGTGCCGTGCTTGGATACTTCATTTTCAAGCTTTGATTTTTCCAGTCGGTCCAGAAACATGTAGAGCTCTTTGAGGACAGGTCTGGCTCCGACAAAGTTCTTTCCAGGATCCGACCACAATTTCCTCGGGTGTCCTCTCAGTGCCGTGAATCATTGGTAGGCTAACAAGAAGCCTTCAGCTGACTGGTCACTGACGAGGTCTGTGTGCATAGCTCTGGATGCCATGCAACAGAAGACAATTCCCCACACTTTGAGTTTCACCTTCTTTCTCACCTCATCCTTCACTTCGTAAGGTCCAAATAAGTCCACCGTTGTGTACTCAAATGGATTGGCTGGTGTTATTCGCTCCGATGGAAGGTCACTCATGATCTGTTGGCATCTTTGGGCCTTGATTCTCCTGCATGTCACACAGTTATCAACGATCATCTGAGCTAGTTTCCGGCCTCTTACCACCCATGCTTTCCTTCTCATCCGGAGGAGTGTGCCTGCAATTTCTTCATGATTTGCTTTGTGGGCTTCTTGAGCTAGAAGAGTGGATACCCATGATGTGCAGGGCAAGATTGGTACTGCAGTTTTTTCTTCATTAAAGATTTGGAATCTTCCTCCACAGAGCAAAAGTCCAGTGTTTTCATCCCTGACCACAGCAAGCCTGTTGAGTGTAGTGTCTGCCAAGGTTTCCTCCTCTTGAGCCGCAAGAAAGAGATCCCTGAGTGCATCTTCACACTCCATGATGGTAAGTGTAGCTTCCTTAACTCTGGACTTGATCTCAAGAGCTGAGGGAATCTCCTCTTTCTTTGGCTTGCTTGTGGTTGAGGTTCTGGCCAGCATTTTTTTCCACTTTGTGGCAGCTCTCCACACCCAGGCAATGACTCTCACCAACCTGGTTAAACTGCTGAACTTACTGATGTCAAGGATCCTCTTTACTGAAGAACCAGAGGGTGGCCTCCGGACTTGGATTTGGTGTCCTCCTCCACTAGGGCTGCTTTGCAGGTACTTGTTTTGGACAGAGGTTGGAGACATTAGCATTGCAGTGGCAGGCGGAGCATGTTGGTTTCTTTTCACCTGTGCGCGGGTCAGTGCTGCTGTAAAACATTTCCTTTGGAGCTTATTTATACCTTCCTTGGCATCTGCAGCGACATCTTTGGCTGACTTTGTCGGCCACTCCTCCACAGGTCGTTTCAGAAACTCTGGGCCATCTTGCCACACAGAGTTCTCTTTGAGGTCTTCTGGGGTTGCTCCTCTTGTTATGAGGTCAGCAATGTTTTGCTCACCTGGAATCCACCTCCAGTCTTCAACTGATGTGGACTTCTGGATCTCTCCCACTCTGTTTGCAAAAAAGGTCTGGTACCCATAACTGTCCCTTTGGATTGCACCCAGTACAGTTTGACTGTCCAGCAGATGGAGCCAACGTTCAACTTGCATCCGACTGTGCTTTTTAATGTATTTCCTGAGTCTTGCAGCGAAGACAGCACCACAGACCTCAGCCTTCACTGGTTCTCCCTTTTGGTCAAGTGGTGTGAGCTTGGCTTTGGACTCAACAAGCCGTACCAGGATGCCTTGCTCGGTCTCCCACCTGAAGTATGCAACAGCTCCATAGCTCTGGTCGCTCCCATCTGAGAATGTTATTCCCCAGGGTTCTCCGATCCTTTTGACTGGTGTGAGGCTTCTATGGAAGGTGATTTGATTGAGGCGTGTGTATTCCTCAAACAGGTGGATGGCTTCTTCTCTAAGTCTTTCCGACAGAGGTGTGTCCCATGTGTCTCATGTTAGAGTTTTGCCTCCAGCTTCTTGAAATGCTTTTCTGACAAGAATGGCGCCTTTCTGTTTGGCAGGTGTTGCAAGGCCTATTGGGTCATACAAACTAGCTACTTGGCTAAGCAGTTGTCTTCTAGTCAGTGGGTTTGGAGTTTCTTTCCTCACCTCTTCTCCGACGAGATTTTGGCTGATTCTCATCTTCTTTTTTCTCTTTGAGAAGTTGATGGAGGTCATGAGGTACAGTTTGTCTGGTTCGACCAGGTAACCGACTCCAAGGGCTCTGTTGTCTCCTTCTCTCCTTTGGTTGGGGAGAATGAAGACTTGATCTGACGATGCTGGATGTTCTGAAGTAGACATCTGCCTCCCACTTTGGCCTGACCGGACCCACGGCTTGAGGAAGAATCCACCTGCCTTCAGGATTTCTTCGACTGTTTTGGTGGTTTTGTCTAGCTTTTCCAGGACATTATGGGATGTCAGGATGTCATCTACATACGAATCCTCTTCAAGGCTCTACGCTCCTCCTCCAGGTGAGTGAACATGGGCAGCCTTGCTGTCTCTCTCATGGCCAGTTGTGCGATGCATCCTGCTGGTCGATCACCAATGTTGACTCTGGTGATGGCATATTCCTCAATTTCTCCATCTTCACTGTCTCTCCAGAGAAATCTATGGAGGTGCATCTCCAGGTCTTCAAGCCACACAGAATTGTACATCTTCTTGATGTTGCCGAGGGCAGCATGGACTCCTCTTCTGAACCTTAGTAGCACTGCTTGGATGGGATTAAGTACATCAGGCCCTTTCAGGAGAAGGTCCTTCATGCTGATTCCTCTAAACTTCTGGCTGCTGTTCCATACCAGTCGGACAGGTGTTGTGACAGAGTGTGGGTTTGGCGCCACCAAGTGGCTGACGTACCATACTGGTCCTTTCCAGTCAGCAATGGTCTCTCTGGTGAGTTTCTTTGCTGCTTTCCTTTCCACCATCTCATGGACTTGGGTTGTGTATGCCGCACGCCACTCTGGTTCTTTCTTGAGCTGTTTCTCTGTCCTCAGAAACGTGGCCTCCACTGCATTTCTGTTGTTGGGCAGGGAACTTGGATCTGCAATCCAGGGGTATTTTGTGTCCCAGTGAGGCTCCTGACTGTGTGCATCTGACTTCACATAGCTGAGGCCTTGCCTGATCATCTCAAGCTCTCTCTCCTCGCTCAGAGTCATGTCTTTGCCTCCTGGTTGACAGTTACCACACCGGCATCCTCCACACATGGGTTCGCAGGCCGCACCAATGCTGTCCCACTTCCACCAGTCCAAGAACTCTCTGCCAGCAACAGTGCTTTTGGTTTCAGCTCTAGATTCTTGCATCTCAGCAATTTCTTGATACTTCACTGCTGTGATTCTCATCGATCGTGCAAAGTGAGTCTCAGAATTGTGCAGGGCCATGTCCACTACTTCACAGAGGTCTGGGTGTGCTCCACCAATGGTCCTTCCTAAAGGGCTTTCCCACAGGACAAGATCTCCTACTACCTTTACTCTCTGTGGAGCGAGTCTTCCTTCACGGTGGATTATGAGAAGCTCAACATGTTCTGGTCTGTGAAGATCTTCCAGGTTGGTGTCGGGGAAGAACTTCTTGAGTTGCTGTGCTTTGATTACTCTGTGAACATTTGCAATTTCATCCAACCCATAACAGATCAGCTCATGAGCTCTCTCCGTGCCTCTAGGCATCTTGACTCTCACCTTGAGTAAGTATCTTTTGGTCTTTACTTTCATGGCCATACCTCCAACTCCATGGACGACAAGCGTGATCTTTTCACTTCGAAGCTTCAGCCTCCTGGCAGCCATATGAGTGATGTAGTTGGTATCTGATGCTAAGTCAATGAGAGTTCCAATTTTCTGTCCTGCGTTGGTGGTTACTTCGAGAAGCATAAGAATAACTGGTAACTCACGTGTGCTTGAGTCCATCACTCCAGGAAGGCTTCTTCCAGTGCAGTGTGATTTTGCAGCCATGTTGGTGAAGGCTCTCCTGAATTTTTCTGCCATGTCTGGGGTGAGCTCAGATATTAATTTCTCTTGGTCCTCTGTGAATGTTTGCCTCCTGGTGCTGGGTTTTCCCACTTTCACAGTTTCTTTCCCCTTGAATCCTCCTTTCAGGCAGAGAAAGAAATGGTGGTCTGAAGAGCTTCCTCTCTTGCAGTCTCTGTTCCTGCACAGGTAAGTGTCTGTACATTCATCATCCTCTGCATGACATCTGAGGCATCTTCTGCATGCTCCCAGCCTTTCGACAACATTCAGCTTCTCACCAGGTTTTAGTTCTTTGAACTTCTTACAAAAGAAGATCTTCTCACGGTGCTTTTCATCTCCACAGACAACACATCCTCCTTTCCTTGTGGACTTTGTGGAGGCATACCTCTTCTCCAGGTACGTAGCTTTCTTTTCAGGTTTCTCACTTACACCAAGTTGGTCTAGTTTCTCTAGAATGTCCTCTTGTGTCTTTAAGAATGTAAGAAGGATGTCGAAGTGATTGTTAGGTGTGACTCCATTTCTTGGATTGACCATGAATGTCAGCCAGTCCCTCTTCATATCATCTGGCAGCTTGCTCTCTATGGATCTGATCACAAGGGGATTCTTTATGGCTCCAGTGCTTTTGAGCTCTGTGAGGTCATTCAGGGCCTTTTCCACAGCTTGAATTAGGTCAATTACCTTCCTTGGCTGGTGTGACTTTAAAGGAGGGATCCTCTCCAGGTCCTCAATTATCTCCAAGGCAATTGTTGACTTGTTTCCAAACCTGTTTTGAAGTACTCTAAATATGTCTTCAGCACTGTTGTATGTTGACAGGCGCAGGTCTCTACATATTCTCTCGTCCACACTGTCAAGGAGTTGGAACTTCTTCACTTCCACTGAGCCAGTCGGCTCTCCTTGCTTTTGCAGGCTTTCCCAGTCTCTCTTCCATCTGTGGAAATTCCTCTTAAACCCAGTGAATTTAGGTAGACTGGTCGGCTTTATTCTCACCACTGGTTGTGGAACTGCTGTTGGTTGAGGCTCTGGTCCTCTTCTTTCTTCTTCTGCAATTTTTTGTGCAGTGAGGAATTCTGCTCTTCTGGCCTCGAGGTTGCTGCCGAATGTTCTCAGGTCTTTTAATCTGCCTTTCAGGTCTGCTGTCTGATCATGTGGGATCCATTTTTTCCCAGTCTTTCAGGCTTACAGTTGCATCATGGATTAGCCTCTTCGCTCTTTCCAGCTGCAGTTCATAGCAGTCTCTATTGATAGCAGTGATGGGGCTTGCTTGGGCTCTGTCACAGGCTTTTTCCGCTTCTTGGATTGCAGAGTCTACCTCCTCTTTACCATATCTTGGCCAGAGGTTGGATTGGACTGCTTCACGGATGTCCCCCAGTCTTGTGTCGCACTCTTCCATTGTCCTTTCAAGCTCAGCCTGCTGGTGCTTGTCGAGCTTGACTTCTTCATCCTCCTCAGTTCCCGCTTCAGCGTCTGCCAGTAGGCCAGCCCTGTAGTCATCATTTGCATTGCTGACATACCTTGCCAGGGAACTGAGCTTGCTGAACTCCTCTTGTAGTTCATGCTGGATCATGCCATCTGCAGCTTTGCTCAGGTAGTTTGCTTGCTTGGTGAAAGCAGATTTAGCTAAGGTCCTCTCTTGCTTTAGTTGCTTGACTGTTTTCCCAAGAGTTTCCTTTGCCATGGTGAAGAGTTTCCAGTCAATTCAACACTTCCTTCGCGTCGACAGCTTGACTTCAGGCCTTTGATCCTTGTCCTCACTGCCACGCTGGTTATCAACTGTCAAGTTCTGTGTGTTTTGTGATTGACCACAGCACTGCCCAAACTTGAAAAACTGCTTGATCTCTGATGGACGCAAAGGACAACTCAAATCTGTTCACTTTTTGGTTTTTTATTTTCTTGAAGATGGTTTGATAAATTGGGATGGAGCAGAATAGGTTGATAACCTTTAAGATACAAACAAAATACATTAATTAGTTACAAATAAATCACTTTCTCAAAGTAATAATAAATTAATGTTACTGAATCCTCAAAACCAAACCAAACAAAGTAATTTAGATTAACCTAGGATCTCTGCTAGTTCATAATTAAAGTACAAATCCCACAATTAAACTTATATAATAATTAAACAATATACATGCTTTGTGTAACATTACTTCTTCCAAGATCTGTTAACATAATAAAGTTTTCAACTATTTAACTTAAATTGCACATTTCACCAAGCAAAAGTCATATAGTCATAAGCATGACCTCAACACATTCAACCAAATTCTGTCCTACCAGTTGCGTCTCTAGATGATCAGGAGCTGTGGTCATAGTACCTCTTCAGGAATGGGTGAGAGGGCCAACTGAGCTTTTACCAAACATCTCAAATGCCATGCACTCCCTCTGGGTGCGCAGGTGAATATGGTCCCAAGAGCACTTCCTGAGAAGTTAGTTCCACCAACTCTGTTGCATGGTTGCCCCCTGCAGGTTGGGAGTGCTCCTGGGTGAATCTAGGCTGGAGGGCTCAGTACAACTTTTAACCCTGAGTTGACACAACAGTTGGAAAACAAAACATGGTACAGATGCAATAGATGTGGTCCTGGTCTCCAAGGTTTCTGAAAAATGTATTAGATTATGTAAGAATCATCAAAGGTCACCCAAATTATAACATATAATAATCCAAAAATGAAGTTAAAGAAGAAAACCTCACTTTCCAATTCTGATTATCTGTATCATACTTTGGCTGATGAAATGCATTTGTTTTGTTTTATTGAAAACACTGACTTTTATCAAGATATAGTTAGGCATTCAATGTCTGACATTAAGATATGTTAATAACTACAGAACTAGATGATTGAATTGCATGAACTAAAAATCTATACAACATTTTCAGAGAGCACAGCACGGAAAAAAGTATCAAAGAGAATGAAAAGAGAAATCTTTCTCACTTCAATGTATCAATTTTTGTTGCAAATAGCCAACAGGGTCACAAGAAACGTATTGAGAAAAAAAGACGCAAATCAACTGCCAAAGATTTGAGAAGAATCAAACGTGAAGCTACCAGGAACCCATTATCCTCCAGTGCTGCCATATTCCAGAACTGCAACCTACCCGGAGTGCCCAGAAGTACAAGGTGTTCAGTGCTTAGAGACATGGCCAAGGTAAGGAAGGCTGAAACCCGACCACCACTGAACAAAACACATAAGTTGAAACATCAAGACTGGGCCAAGAAATATCTGAAGACAGATTTTTCAAAGGTTTTATGGACTGATGAGATGAGAGTGACTCTTGATGGACCAGATTGATGGGCCCGTGTATTATTAAAGATGAGCTAGTTGGACCTTTTCGGGTTGAAGATGGCCTCAAAATCAAACCTACTGCCAGTTTTTAGAAGACACTTTCTTCAAGCAGTGGTACAGGAAAAAGTCTGCATCTTTCAAGAAGACCATGATTTTTATGCAGGACAATGCTCCATCGCATGCATCTAAGTGCTTCACTGCATGGCTAGCCAGTAAAGGCCTTAAGGATGAAAAAATAATGACATGGCCCCCTTCCTCACCTGACCTAAACCCTATTGAGAACCTGTGAGCCCTGCTTAAATGGGAGGTTTACAGTGAAGGAAAACAGTACACCTCTCTGAACAGTGTCTGGGAGGCTGTCGTTGCTGCTGCACAAAAAGTTGATCGTCAACAGATCAAGAAACTAACAGACTCCATGAATGGGAGGCTTGTGACAGTTACAGGTCACTGATTTTTTTTTTTTTTTGACATGTCAGAAATGTTTATTTGTAAATTTTGAGTTGTTTTATTATTCTCACTTTAAAAGATGAAAATAAACAAGTAAGATGGGAAAATGTTAGTTTTTTCATTTAGTTGCATAATAATTCTGCACACTAATAGTTGCCTAATAACTGTGCATATATATATGTATATATATATATTGAGCATAGCGTTAGTTCAGGCAGGGCACGAAGTCAGGCGTAGCTTTCAGTTACAGCTATATCATACGAGCACAGCTAGTCATAAACATACATCAGCTGATTCCTCTAAGCTTCCCATTGGATACCATACACAGTCAGCTGACAGCTCACCTGATTTCCTCAAGCATCCAATTGGCAAACACCATGCATGGCGCCTTATTTAAGCTGCCTTAGCCTGCCTGCCTATCTCTGCTGCTCCCTCTACAAGCCTTTTGCACCCACCTCCACCCCAGCTCCTCCTTTTTATGTTGTTTCTAATTAATCAATGTAATTTTCTGATTGCCATTGATGCTGCTCTGTTCTGTACCCTGGGGTCTCTGCTGCCGCTCTCCTTGTCTTAAACTTTTCCATGTATGCACATGGAAGGGCAGGGAGGTGTGCTCTCCCTGCCTTAAGGTTTTCCACGTAGGCACGCGGAAGGACAAGGAGGTCCCAGAACAGAGCCATACCGCCAAATGTAATTCTGCTTGGAATATAAGATATTTTGACAAAAGTGGTCCTGACTGTAAGTATGTATGTATATATATATATATATATATATATATATATTCTCTTAAGAAAGACAAAACCTCACTTTTACTTTCGCAAACATTCAGGTTTAGGTTCATTAACATTTTGGATTGACCGAGAGCACTGTAGTTGTTCAATAATAAAATTAATCCTCAAAAATACAACTTGCCTAATAATTGTGCACACAGTGTATAAAGTGCTGCAGCACTGATAAAGTGTAGTATCACCATCGAGAAAAACTAATCCACACTATTTACCTGTTCATCATGATGAAGCTGATCCTTTCTCTGAATCTGATCTCCAGCACAGGTAACCCCATTTATTCTTACTTTACAGTTTCTGCTGTTACTAGAGAGCACTATTTAAAGAAGTTTGTCATTTTACCATAACTGATTTTAGAAAGGAATTTAAATCCGACACGAAATATCATCAGATGATTTATTTTAATTAAACTAAACAAGATTCATATATTGTAGATAAGACTCAAATTCAAAATGCAGCAGAAAGGGTAGAAAGCAGATAAAGACAATTAATTAGAACGATATAGTGCATATGAGATATTTTTACAACCTTTGTGATCCTTTTGTATAACAATAATAATAATAATAATAAGAGTTTTCCGCTTTTACAAACCACCAAAACACCTTAGACATTTCATATGACTTTTGACCTGTGATCATCATTCACTGATTATTTTTCTTCCCTTTATAGCTGGAGCACTTGTGTGTCAAACTTGCAAAAATCAGGAGTGTTCAAGCACGGCACCACTAACGTGTTCCTCAGAGACAATGTGTATAACAGCTTCCATTCAAGGTAGGTATTTCTTTATGTCATCTATTAACTTTCAGTGAAATACATGTACTGTAAAGTTATGTGTTCTTGCCGTCAACATTAACAAATTGCACTTAAATTTTGTAGCTACTTCAGCTGGAACCCCAGGCCAGCAAATCTTCAAGGCTTGTGCATCGTCCTCCCTGTGTCCAGCCGCAGGCTCTCAGACATTTTCAGCCAACTTGGGAGCTGCGAGTGCACTTGCATCTGTGACATGCTGCAACACAGATAACTGCAACTCACCTACTCTACCATGTAAGTATATGGATAAGTCAATATAAAAGAATAAAGATATATTACTATGGAAAAGTAATATAACTTTAAATGTTTTTTACTTCTCAAATTAATGATGTTGTTCTTTCATGTTTCAGTCCCTGCTACTCCAGCAGATAACAGCCTACAGTGTTTCTCTTGTGACCCCGTCACCTCTCAATGCACCAACCTATTACAATGTAAGGGATCGGACCGCTGCTTTCAAGCGACTGGTGAGTCTTAATTTTTTATTTTAAAGTTTGACTTTGTATATGTTTTACTTCAAAGTATTTCAAATACAGTACTATACGTGAGATCTGGAAAATAAACGGGTAGACTTTACTTTTATTATTTAAAATTCTCAAGTACTTCTTTCATGGAAGACTTGCATTTGTAAGAGTATTTTTACGCTGTGGTATTGCTTACAAACAACAGCAATTTAGTTGGTCGAATAAAACAAGTGATTTTTCTTACAGTGGGGTCCAGCAGTTCTCCTGCTTTTGGCTGTGCATCTGGAAACCTGTGTGCAGCTGCTACCAGCCTGGGTAGCCTACCTTTCATGGAAAATGTTGGTAACATCAGCAGCGGACCTTCTTGTTGTGGGACCAGTTTCTGTAATACTGTCACAGCCCCAACGCCAACAACTGCTGCCCCAACAACAACTTCTTCAGCACCAACAACAACAACTGTTGCAACAGCAACTACTGCTGCCCCAACAACTACTGCTGCCCCAACAACTACATGCTGCCCCAACAACAACAACAACTGCTGCCCCAACAACAACAACAACTGCTGCCCCAACAACAACTGCTGCCCCAACAACAACAACAACTGCTGCCCCAACAACAACAACAACTGCTGCCCCAACAACAACAACAACTGCAGCCCCAACAACAACAACAACAACGACTGCTGCCCCAACAACGACAGCGCCCCAACAACTGCAGCCCCAACAACAACAACAACAACAACTGCAGCCCCAACAACAACAACAACAACAACTGCAGCCCCAACAACAACAACAACAACTGCAGCCCCAACAACAACAACAACAACAACTGCAGCCCCAACAACAACAACAACAACTGCAGCCCCAACAACAACAACAACAACTGCAGCCCCAACAACAACCGAAACAACAACTGCAGCCCCAACAACAACTGTTGCCCCAACAACGACTGCCCCCAAGGCCAACGACTTGCCCAACAACAACAACAACTGTTGCCCCAACAACAACAACGACTGCTGCCCCAACAACGACTGCTGCCCCAACAACAACTGCAGCCCCAACAACGACAACAACTGCAGCCCCAACAACAACAACAACTGCAACCCCAACAACAACAACGACTGCAGCCACAACAACAACAACGACTGCAGCCCCAACAACGACTGCAGCCCCAACAACAACCGACAACAACAACTATCGCCACCCAGACAACAACAACTGCCACCCCAACAACAACAACCGCCGCCGCCCAGACTACTATAACAACCAGCGCCCCAGCAACCCCAACTTCCACAACCACTGCTGCCCTTACAACTGCAAATACAACCTCCATCCCAGCAACTCAATCAGCCACAATTACAATCAGACTGGGTATGAGTCATCTGCAGCTCGGACTCTTTATTTCCTTTATCCTCTGTTAAGAAAAATATTGGATAAAATACCTTTAAAGCTACCATAAGGACTCTGAAATGACCCTTTGAAGCCTGGACTTGGGTTTACTGCCCATTGCCATCTTTAGTTAGCAGTTACCGGGGCTAAAAAAGACCAAAATGTAGGAAAAGAGGGGATGGCGTCTGGGTGTAGCTGAGGTGGGACAAGTTTGCAGCAATTGAACACACAATTGAACGTTTTTGTCCACTTTGATCGGGAAAACAATTTAATGTCACATTGTACATTGTATAAGGGATAAATCACAATTAACCTTGTGTTGAATAATAAAGGGATTGTATTCAAGGCTGATTACTGCAACTCTTTATTATCAGGTTGCCCCAATAAGTCCATTAAAACGCTCCAATTAATTCAGAACACTGCAGCACAGTACTGACAGGAACTAGAAAAAGAGATCACATCTCTCCTGTACTAGCTACTCTGCATTGGCTCCCTGTAAAATGTAGAATTGAATTTAAAATCCTCCTCCTCACCTATAAAGCTCTTCATGGTCAGGCCCCTTCATATCTTAAAGAGCTCATAGTACCCTATTACCCCACTAGAACACTACGTTCTCTGAATGCTGGGCTACTTGTGGTTCCTATAGTCTCTAAAAGTAGAACAGGAGCCAGAGCCTTCAGTTACCAAGCTCCTCTCCTGTGGAACCAGCTTCCAGTTATGGTTCGGGAGGCAGACACCCTCACCACATTCAAGAGTAGGCTTAAGACATTCCTCTTTGATAAAGCTTATAGTTAGGGCTGGATCAGGTGAGTCCTGAACCATCCCTTAGTTATGCTGCTATAGGCCTAGACTATCGGGGGATTTCCCATGGTGCACTGAGCTCCTCTCTTCCTCTCTCTTTATGCACTCATTCATGTCCCATTAATGCATGTTACTAACTCCACTTCTTCCCCGGAGTTCTTGTGCTTTCTCGTCTCGCAGGTTCTCATGGATCCTGGTGGAGCCTCCTGCCATGGTCCTGCTTGACTGCCATTGCCAATACTGTTGTTGCTGTGCACCTGTCTGTCTGTCTCTCTCTCTCTCTCTCTCTCTCTCTCTCTCTCTCTCTCTCTCTCTCTCTCTCTCTCTCTCACCCCAACTGGTCGAGACAGACGACCACCCACCTAGAGCCGGAGGATCTGTCCTAGGTTTCTGCCTTTTAACAGGCAGTTTTCCTTGCCCTTGTCGCCAAGTGCTTGCTCATGGTGGTACTGTTGGGTCTCTGTAATTAATGTTAAAGAGTTCGGTCTAGACCTGCTCTATTTGAAAAGTGTCCTGAGATAACTTCTGTTATGAATTGGCGCTATACAAATAAAATTGAATAATTGAATTGAATAGTGGGAAAATGCATTCAGGGATAAGGTTTTGTCATGTATTCACACTCTGGTTGTCTCACACTAGTTAGAAAAAGGGTTATTCAGTGTGCCATGAGCTAAGCACATTCCAAAGACCAAGGCTGTCTTGGGTAGAGTAGGGCATCAGATATGTTATGACTACTGTTTATCAGATATTGGACGTCACCAATAGACATTCTTTGGGAAAGAGGCATATAATGGAGGGATTTTCTTTGTTCGAGTCAGTTCATTCTCGAGACAACTCGGTTTGCTTGTATCCTGTGTTGATGCAAATAAATCTTGCACATGGAGTGAAACTGTCAATTCTCTTTGATTTCTGTGAGTCTGTGTCACCATTCTGGGTACCTTCAGTGGGAGTTTGTGGTCTCTCACTATAGTCAGATAGCTAAAAGTTTAAGTCAGATAGACATCGATTGAGGTGCATTGAGACGAGAAAAATTAAACCACAACAAGACTTTGTCAGAGCTGCTGTTATCTAAAAATAAAGACCTCTCTCGCCTATCAGGACACATGACAATGTAAGGGCAGAGAGTTGAAGTTATTTTAACAACCTAAAAGATTCAGGGATTTTGACTTAACATTTGGGGCTGGAGGCTCAGAAGCCACCCCCTGCCCTGCCTCTGCATAGGAAATGAAGGCGTAAACCCAAGATATAAAAGCAAAAAGTAAGGATATAAAATACCCTCACATTGAATTCATAAATATGTAGGGTAGTCTTTGGATCAAGCATGTACAAGTTCAATGTTATTGCATTTAGATAACATAAACTGTATGCACTGAATTATACACACATACAGTTTCTTCATCGTTTTTTTTCTGCATCCCCAGGCCTGCTGGTTTGTGTCCAAAAACAGTCAACACCCAATCTGACATTGCAGAGTTTTTTTGGCAGCAATTTCTTTGGCAGTTGATTGTGCAAGCTCTTTCCATTCCCTAATTAAAACAAAAAAGCCGCCCCAACAACAACAACAACTGCCATACAAACAACAACAACTGAAGCCCCAACAACAACAACCGCTGCCGCCCAGACTACTATCACAACCGGCGCCCCAACAACCCCAACAGCCACACCAACAACAACATCAACTGCCACCCCAACAACAACAACTGCCGCCGCCCCAACAACAACTGCTGCCCTTACAACTGCAATTACAACCTCCATCCCAGCAACTCAATCAGCCACAATTACAACAACAAGCAGTTATCTAAAAATAAAGACCTCTCTCGCCTATCGGGACACATGACAATGTAAGGGTGGAGAGCTGAAGTTATTTTAACAACCTAAAAGATTCAGGGATCTTGAGAAAACATTCAGGGCTGGAGGCTCAGAAGCCACCCCCGGCCCTGCCTCTGCCTAGGAAATGAAGGCGTAAACCCAAGATATAAAAGCAAAAAGTCGATATAATCAACATTATCATTGAATGGAGTGTACAGATGTGTTGCCAGTTTCATTTTACATTCTAGATTATGAAACACAAGGACATGTGAAAAAGGTTACGTGATAACAAGGTGTGGGTAAGGGCATGCCAGACAGTTTCCTCATTGTCAGAACAAATTGTAACTCAATGATATAATTCATGCTTTTTGCGTCAAGGAAATTCCTGACTTCTTTCGTAATGGGTTCACTGATGCATAAAACAAAACAAGCCTGTTGGAGCCAGATTGAACATTTTTGAATTTAAAGAAATGAATGATTTCTGTATGAGGGATGTCGAGTTATTTGTTGATATTCTGATTTATGAAAAATAAGAAGAAATTTGATAATTTTGTCTACTAAGTGTCTAATTGTCTAATCTTAAGGACACTGAGATTGTTCACTTACCTGCTCCTCCTGGATTGTGCGTCACTAGGGCATTAACAGTTTTCCAAACACAGTACTTTCCAGGAAATTAACGGAAAGTGTGTGTTGGATCCTTTTTTTGGAAAAGTCTATGGGAGTGTGCATATAAATAAATTATACTTAATTTTCTTTCAAAAGACTATATCTCTCTGCATGCTTTACGAAGTGTGTGTGTGTGTCGGCAAATCCTCATCTAACTCCATTTTTAGTCACTATTTATTCACTCCCAGTCACTGAGGTTTTTACACATGGATCTGCCATGAATATACTCAACACCCCCTGTACACTATAAATGTGCTGTGGCACTGATAAAGTGTAGTATCAACATCCAGCTTTGAGTGCACTTACATTTACTAAGTGCTGCAACACAGACAACTGCAACTCAGAAAGAAGAAATATATATTAATATATATTATGGATAATACATATAATTTATAATAACAGTAAGACTAGATCTGTAATAGATCTGCATTATATGTATGTATTACATAACTTTTTTGGGAGCAAAACATTTTGATAGGCCCAGATTAAGGGGGGTGTTGAGATTGTGTATAGAGTGGCAGTAATGATATAAAATACCCTCACATTGAATTCATAAATATGTAGGGTAGTCTTTGGATCAAGCATGTACAAGTTCAATGTTATTGTATTTAGATAACATAAACTGTATGCACTGAATTATACACACATACAGTTTTTTTTTCTGCATCCACAGGCCTGCTGGTTTGTGTCCAAAAACAGTCAACACCCAATCTGACATTGCAGAGTTTTTTTGGCAGCAATTTCTTTGGCAGTTGATTGTGCACGCTCTTTCCATTCCCTAAGAATCAGTTCCCAACCTCAAAATAAAAAAACTAAAACAAAACACTTGCACAAATTA